AAAAAAGTAGAGGACAGGCTTTACCCAGATATAGTTCACAGTCCTCAAGTCCACAGGAAAAATACACATGGACTTTCAGTTTTTTCTTGGTTGGAATGCTTAACAGAACTTTGATGGATGTTTTGTTTTGCTCTTTTGGTGGTTCTGGAGGTGGAGTCCAAGGCCCTTCATGCCAAACAAGTTCTCTTCCACTGAACTACTCCCTCGGCTCCCAAGATGTGACTTAAAAAACAAAATCCACGTATCTTTTTGGTTCACTTAATTTATACTAACAATAAAAGCCACAATAGAAACCTAAATGGAATGTAATTCACCTCAGTTTGATTCTAAGAGGGTGGCTTTAGTGCAAGCACACAGTTTCCCTTTCATACACATGTAATTGGGAGGTAGCAAGACTAAGAGGAGGTCACTCACCAACTATGGAGTTATTAGAATCTCCCCTTCCTTCTTGCTTCCTCCCTCCATCCCTCCACATCCCCCCTCTTTTTTCTCTCTGTTTCTTTCTTTCTTTTTTCAAATTGTCATTGATAATAATTAGAACAGCTCAGAGGGAATGCTCAGAGTGACTACTGTGACTCTGGAATGGATATTGGGCTGAACTCATTAAAACTGGGGTTTCCATTTCTCTAGAGATGGATACACACCGTTTGAGGAGAATGGGCTAGAATTTCGACTTGTTGAAGCTGGCTGCAGCTACAACGTCTGACTAGTCAGTCCATGTCTGGTTCTGATCAGCACCTGCCTGTGGTGAGGAGGAGAGGCACCCAGGAAGCAGCAGAGGCTGCTCTGGACCTGCTGCAGCCCTGTCTCTGTTCTGATGCTATTTTCCATGGCTTGGGTTCCTAGATGCACTAGGCAACCCATCGGCTCTAGCAAGAAGAAGATAGGATGGAAGAGCAACAAGTGACCATGTGAGCGTCGTGTACCATAGAGCTGTGTGGTTAGTTTTCATCAGTGACTAGACCTGTCACACCCTATAACAACAATAGCTTCAGAAATGGTAGAAACCCTTGGGCCGATGCCAGGGACAGGGTTATTGGATGGCCAGTCCCTTTCCCCAGGCATTTGCATGCAGAGCCCCATAAGCAGGACCCTGAATTATGTGAGAAACACAAGAAAAAGTTTGGGACCCCGCATGACCTTATTTAGTGTGTGTGGGGGCGTTAAACAGGGTGGCACCTCTGCATTTCTACCATTAAGTGTGGTTCAGAGAGAGCGCCTGAGATGCTGGAGTTGGTTTTCCCAGTTTCTGACCTGGGTGGGGAACTGAATGGACCTTTGGGAGGGAAGGCTCTGTTTGAGATGGGCTTAGTAAGCTGGTGGGGGTGGAGTGTATGTCGGTGCATGTGAGCATTCACGGGTGCACACCCTCACGTACAGACGTGTGCTTACTCGACACAGCTGTCTGGGAGCGAGGGGGATGGGTCTGGGACCAGCTTTTCTGAGGAGACAAACAATGTCAACACAGGCCCGAAATGGAATCTGGGGCCATTGTCTGAAGGATGGGGGAAAAGTTTGTTTAGACCTGTCTGTGTCTATCCTTCGGGTGTTTGGGACATGGTCCTTGTCTATGAGACCCAACACATCTGTCCTTTGTTTTCCAGAGCTGGGACCTAGACCTGGCATATGCTGGCGGGCTCTCTCTGGAACTGCATCTGAAATCCGAAGTCCTGCAGTGGTTTTTGGTTTTGTTTTGTTTTTTAAAGAGCACACAGATTATTTCTATCATAATGGATAAGCTCTTTCCAAGTGGCCATGTTTCTTCCAGTTCTATAGTAATCATAAAACAATTAGATTGGAAATGATCAAGAAACGTAATTTGATTTTCTGAGCCTCTTGGTTTTTGGCTTCCTTGTAGTGGTGGTAGAATTTTTGTAAGAAATTTCATTGTTGAAGTTTAGAAAACAGATGAGTTTGTATTGAACTAATTTAATTACAAACTCTTTACTTACTTTCCATAAGAGATGCCTGAAAGGGATTCCTAAAAATAGCAAGTTTTCTCATTCTGTTTACAATATAGTTTCTTTGGCTCAGACCGGTTTATAAGAAGTTTTCAGTGTGACATAAGGCACACAGAGGCAGCGTGGAGATGAACAGTGCGCCTTTGTGTATGCTAGGTCACAGCTCATGCCTGTGTCTGTGGTCACCAAGTTTAGTGTTTAGGTCTGCATGCCATATTCTTGGGAAAGGAAATAGTAAGAACTGTGTCTGCATTTATTTTTATGAGAAAGAAATCAATCTTACTTTTTATTTATATTTATTTATTATGTTTGGTTTTTCAGGACAGGGTTTTTCTCTTTAATGGTTCCAGTTGTCCTGGAGCTCGATTTGTAGACCAGGCTGGCCTTGAACTCACAGAGATCTGCCTGTTTCTGTCTTTTGAGTGATGAGATTAAAGGCGTACACCACCATGCCTGGCTAGAAATTCATTTTATTGATATTTAGCATACGGTCTGGCCGTTGTATAAAATTCTAATGTAAATCCACACATATCAGGGTTGCATGCTCACAAACGTTGTTTTGGTTTGCTTGCACCTTGGATGGTCAGCTCCTGGGGGTCTGTGTCAGGAACATCCATGGGTTGTAGCTTTGTGTGTGTCCTAATGTGTGTATGTAGGTGTGTGCATAGGTGTATGCAGTTATATGTGGAAGCCAGAGGTCAACCTTGTATGTTGCTCCTTATGACTAATAGCTACTTTTTTTTCTTTAAACAGATTGTGCCATGAGACCTGAGGCTCACCAGTTTGGCTAGGCTGGCCAGCTAGTAATCCTCCGCCTCCTCAGTGCTGTGATTACAAGCAAGGCCACCACAGCTAGCTTTTTTACGTGGGTGCTAAGATCAAAAACTCAGGTCCTCCTTCTTGCATGCGTTTACTAACTACATTAGCTCCCGAGCCACATGATCTGCTTTTTAGATGAAGTCACAGGAACGCTGTTATAAGCAGGGAGTGATGTCATCAGAGGTACATTTTTAAAAGATCTAATGCTGCAGTGTACAATGTGGACTGGCTAGGACAGGGCCCCAGGGATCCAACAATGGTGACATAAAAGCTTCAGCCACTGAGTACTATCACTTTGAGATGCCAACGTGTAGTAGGTGCTTGACACTTTAAAATGTGCGCAAATCTGGACTTGCCCAGGAACAAACATTAATTATCCCTGCAGAAGCCTCCCTGCCTGGCATCTCCGCAGAGGTCTGGCTGGTTGGATGAGAGAGCTCAGCATCCATGCCCCAGGCCCTACAGCCTTGCAGAGCATTATATTTGTAAAACAGCTGTTACTTTTATAAATACGTTCTGTCTAGAGGGGAAAAAAGCTAAAGATGAAAAGAGAAGTTGGCGTGTAGGGTGCAAACGGCCACTTCCGGGCACAAGCAAGAGGCTGTGATGGAGATGGAGTGGGGAGGTCTGGAGGGGAGTGTTCATGAGCAAAGCCACTGAGCTGAGAACAGGCTGTGTGCTTCTCCACCATGAACCAAGCTGCTTTTCACGTCTAGATTTTAGGATCGAAGAACAAACATGTAGTCTATCCCACTCTAATAAAATGTTTCATTCATTTAGGGGGATGAAAGGCCATTAATGAAATGATAATAATGGCCAAGATGCATTGAGCTCTTACTATAACCTATGCAGTACGCATTAAAGAGACCCAGCCTATTGGAAGCACATAGCAGCCAACGTATAGCATGATAATCAGTTCCATTTTTAAGACAGCAAAAATAAGATTATTTGGAGAATTAATAATATGCTTATTTTCATATATGTCCTTAGTTGTATGCCTGGGGACTAAACCCCAGAGGGCTGGCTCTAAGCCCATCTAAAACTAGTTCATTCTATCTCCTCCTGAAATGCTACAGAACCTCTGCCTTCTTGTGGAAGCACTTCACTGCGGCACACTAAAACAACCTGCCCAACACAGTGATCTGGATCCTTGGGGCACTTGGGGCTTGACTAGATTGAGAGTCTTGAAGATAAGAGCTGAGGATTGACTCCCCTGTGATGGGTAATCCAATATCTACTCAGTGCTAACAGAACGGCCTCATCTCCCTTTTCCTCTGACCATCTAGGGTAGTAGCCAAGGGACTTGGACTTGCTTTTAACTTCCAGGGAATGTTCACACTCCCATGGGCATGGTAGCATGCCAGCACTGGCTTTGGATGCTGCTTCTAGATCTTGCTGTATCCTTGGGGGCATCATGCTGAATTTTACTGGGGAACATTTGCAGATAGACTTGCCAACAGGATACATTTCTATTATGTGGTTCAAAGCATGAAAGCCAAGACCCCACAAAGCAGCAGGGACTTAGCTTCCTAACAAGTAGGATGTCTTAGCTTCCCCTCTGTCACCGTCCCTTTCTGTCCTCTAACTTTGGGAATGGGGGTTAGTGGATGTGGTCCACGGGGGACTTCTCTGATTGATAGGCCCAGTGACACTGCCTTGGAGGAAGCAGATTTTCCCTTTTCCAGTGAGTACACAGTGTGATTAACTTCTTGGTTAGTGTGTCTTTATCGAACCCTCCTCTCAAGGCTCAGGGGTCCCTGCAGAAAAGGAGGCAGAAAGATTGTAAGAGCCAGAGATGGTGGATAACTCCAAAGAAGCAGTGTCTTCCAGACCAAACAGGACTGATGCACATATGAACGCACAGAGACTGTGACAACCTGCATGGGACCTACCCAGATTTAAAGCTGTCAGAATCCTAGCACCAGGGAGTGGCAGTGGACATAGAGTCCCACCCCTAGCCTAGAGGACTTATTTACCAGGGATTCCATAAATACTCATTGGCATAAAATGCTTCTTTGAGTCTTTAATTTCTTAACCCAGTCAACAGCTATTTTCACAAAGCTATTGGACAGGCTAAGAAATATATAAAGGAATTAATTGTGACATGGTCTCCTAGGCCTCGCTGCAGTGTGGTGTCAGTGTGATCCATGGGGATGTGACCTTTGAGATTTGCATGGGGCAGAGAGCATTGAGCAAGAGAGTTTCAGTTACAGGCTAGATATCTCAAGGGACAGACATCCTAACTTGATGACAAGGACTGATGAGCAGTTGGACCCAAGGCACAATTTGCATTGCATTATCAGGGGGAAAGGTTACATCCTGCTTTAAAAACAAATGAACTTTCTGGGAACTGCTAGACCAAATAATAGCAGAGAATTGTGATAGGAGCTACAGGGCTACCCTTGACCATGACCTGCATGCAGTGCCCTGCCCTGGTAGCACAGACACCTGTTGAGCATTGCATTAAGAATAGCCGTGGGCAGAGTACCTGCCCCTTCTGAGACTCATTTCATATATCTGAAAAAGAGTAAGCGTGGATTCTCTGATCTCCAAAGTCGGTTCCACTTCAGTGGTCTGTGGCTGTGGTTCTTGCTGTAGGAAGACACATGGGAGGGAGGGAGGGAGGGAGAGAGAGGGGGGAGGAGAGAGAGGAGAAGAAGAAGGAGATGAAGAAGGAGGAGA